GGGAAATTATTGGAAGATTCAGGCCAAAGCAACATCAGATGGATGGCATAATTTTATATGCAGCAGCACTTTTCTTCTGGTCATTCTCTTTTTGTTGTTTTTTATTAGCTCCTCCTCAGTTTCCTATTTTTTCATCAACTGGTAGTAGTAATGTTGATCTGGTGTTGCTTTTGATCCAAATCTGATAATCATGGCCCATTCATTTGATTGCAAAATATAAACAAAAATGTGTGAATAAATGTGGAATAATTATAAAATCCCAGTTCTCACTTTCTTTTAATATTTTTTACAGCCATATTTAATCAGCACAGCAATGCCCATGTTTGTACTTATTGTTGTTTAATTATCATTTAAAATTAATCTTGTTTTTTTATGTTGTCTTCTCTTTCCTCTATCAGCGGGATGTGAAATGGCTACTCCAGCTAAACTACGAATCATTCTTGGAGAAAACAATTCTCAGAGATTGATCCTTCCAGATGGGATGCCAGAGACTGTAATGGAACTCAATCAGGAAATTAAGAGACAATGTGGCGTAGATGGGGACTTCAGGCTTCAGTTCATGGATTTTGAGTTTGGGAATGAATTCACCAACTTGGTCTCAATGTCAGACATCCAGGACAGAAGCTCCATCAAGGTCGTCTTTGACTCTGTTACACCTGCCCAGCCTGGTGGAACCCTGGCCCCTCCCTACTCAGCTCCTGCTACAGCCCGCCCACTGGATGACTCTTCATCTAATTCTTCTGGTACCTCATTTGATACAGACATATTGTCTTCTCCTGAGTCCACCTCCTCAAGATCCACTGCATGGCCCATTGTTTTCCCCATGCCACGGTTTGCTTATGATACTCAGCTGCAGCTTGACAGGGCCAATGCTGCTTTCAAAGACACTGGAGCTTTGTTGAATCCGGATACTAAACTTAAATCTGCAATTCTTGAGGGCTTAGCTGAAACGATTGTCCAGTACAAAGTGTACCTCTCTGACAGGGAGTTTGATGAGGTGGCAGAAGCTCTGGTGACTAATCATCCATGTTTAAAAGAACCAGGTTCAGTGACTGGGTATGGCGGATGGAAGACGAGCCTGAAGTATAAACTTGCCAACTACCGAACAAAACTCAGACAGCTTGGATGTCCTGAAGTTACTGTGAATGCCTTGAAACACAAACCTGAGAGCAAATGCAGTCCTGCATATGGTGTGAAGAAGCCAAAAAAAGCAGAAGTAAATTACTGCCCCAACTATCCAGCTGGTGAAACAGCAGAGACTCTAGAAGAGCTGAGAGTGATGCTCCTCTCAGAAGTAAAGAAGAGAAACAATGAGCAAAAGTTAGCGGAAATGATGGACAAGACCTTTGCACTCAGAAGGCAAGAGGTAGTGAAAGAGGCCCCCATGATAGCTGATTTCAAAACAAGGTGGCCTGCTCTCTTCCATGTGCGTCAGGTAAGTGGATTAATATGAGTGCATCACCACTGCATGCAATGTGTAAAAATGCATATTGACTGACTGTGAAGTTACTCAGACTGATGTAAATTTACTGAAGGCCAGCAGTTAGTCTTAAGCCTGGGACATAGTCGTCCGACGCCGACCAGTCGATGTGCGGTCACGTGGTTGTTTGGCGTTAGTTTTTGCACAGACCTTTCACAGCCCCAAAGATACACCGTGCCGAGCTCCTGGGAAACCCCTCCCTCTGTGGCATACGTCACTGTGGGGGGTTTCTTCCCGCTAAAGTCGACAATGCAGAAAAAAATGTGCAAGACTCGTCACCTGATGTTATTTATCCACAATCTGTCCCGATTAAGATCTACAGTTTTTATCAGTCAGATTCCTCAGTRCAAAACGTCTTGTATCTCTATTCATGAGTTTTTCACAGGTTGACTAACTTTATAAATGCCTGCTTCCTG